AGTCCTTTGAGTATGGCTTGCTGCCTGTCTCTCACCATATTAGGATTAAAAAGAGGATCCCTTATGTGATCAGAGCTAAAAACCTGCCGTGGTTTATGGTAAGTATCTAAAGATAAATATAGATACAATTAATTGTACTGTAAACAATCAGTGTTATTTTTAATATTGTGCATGAATAAATTATGATGTGTCTTAGCTTAACATCTGTCTGGAAGAGAATGCATATATAGCCTTCTGAAGAATTTACCTTTAGGCAATTTCAAAATATAGTTTCATAGAAGTAGTTTTCTACATTCATGGATACAACCGGAATAACAATAGCACTTAAACTTATATACAGCTTTATAGTGCTTTACACTCCTCTCTAAGCATATTGGCCCAACAATCTGGGTCCTCATTTTACCGACCTCAGAAGGATGAAAGGCTGAGTTAACCATGAGTTGGTCAGGATTGAACTCCTGGCAGTGGGCAGAATTAGCTTGCAATACTGCAATTCTAGCCATTGCACCACCAAGGCTCAACGTGAGATCTATGTGGTTAACTGTTAGTGACCCTATGGATAAATTTTTGCCTTGAACATCTGATTACAAATAGAATATATTTATGTTTAGATTGTTAGGTTTAAAATTAATGATTTTCTCTTAAAACAAATATTTTACTTTATTCAGTACTGAATTAAAACAACACTTTAGAACAAGCAGTAAAAACTTTAAATGAAGGTTAATGGTGAAATATTGAATAACCATAAGTGTTTCTTGAACTCTCTACTGCAGTACCGTCCAGCTCTTGGTATTGTGGCTCATGCGTGGAGGGCCTAGTCAAGGGTGCATCTGGATCAAGGTAATATACTTCATTTGTTCGCACATAAGGAACAAAATGAGATGAAGGAGGTCTTTCAGCTTCCGTATTTGGAAGAGGCCTTTCATTCCCATGCTGATCTGTAGAAATACTCTTTGGGCTTCCATTTTTGCTGTTAAGAACTGGGAAATCAGAAGTCTTTAGTTGCTGTAATTTGTTTTTAACTGCTGGAACAGGTGGGGAGTCAGATCTGTTTAAAACAAACAATTCAGCTGCAAAAAATAGTCTCAACCAGAGCTTTCTTCATTTTATCAATCTACTATTAATTTCTGCTTATATTTAAATGCAATCTTGAAAATGCAGATCTCCTTCCACACAAAGAGTTTTATTTTGTTTAATGAGCTATACAAAGGAGCTATGAGTGAAGATGAAGTTGTTCGATATTTGATATACCGTATTTTCCGGCGTATAAGACGACTGGGCGTATAAGACGACCCCCGACTTTTGAGAAGATTTTCAGGGTTTAGAAAGTTGTCTTATACGCCGGAAAATACGGTATGTTATTCAAACCACAACTTAAGAATGATTCATAAGGCCTGTTCTGTTACATCACTGTAGTGTTTTCTGGATTTTGTTGTTGCTTCTACTTTCTTTTCCTCTTCCCCAAATTTATTGTTATTTATACCTGTATTTTGTAC